TATATATATATATATATAGTAGGAATCCTGGGGCACCTATTATAGGCAACTTAAACAATTTACCAATTGTTTTATTTTGATTTCCTCGGTTACTTGGATTAGGAAGACAGAGTTTGTTGACTGTTATCCCACTGTTTCTAATCTAGCACCTGTCACATCTGACCATCTATCCTCTCTGCTGTTATCTGCTATTAAATCTGCCTGCCCGCTGTTCTGGGGATGGCTCTCATTTGGTGGGAAAGGACATTTCTACTCTCAAATCTATCAATGGATCTACCGCCCCATGTGCTGCTCCGAGCACCTGTCTCCTCTTCAATCTCCCCCTTCTCTGTTTCTGAGGATTGGTTTTGGCCTGTGTTAACCGAGAGACCGCCTTCACTGAGTGATCGGCCGAAGTCTTCTTGGCGTGTGTCAGCTTTGACGTAACTAGGTGATAGGATTGAGGGATTGAAGTAACACACACCTGATGTGGTCCTGTGCTCTGTGTGATTCGGGAAGTTCGACCTAGAACGTTTTATATGTGGATGTTTAAGGGCTGATAGATGTCAAATATTGCATTTTCAGTAAACCACTTATTTAGAAGCAATAAGGCGCATTTCTTAATTTTTAAGTCTCCTGCACAGTGTTTTTCTATTGCAAGATGTCTCATTCCAAAGCAAATATTTTGGATTACCCAATAAGACAAAGGGAAATTCCTTGATTGCAAAAAACAGGAACATTATACTTTTCTTCCAGCACAACCAACACTAAAACTTTTAGAGTTTCTTGGCAGGGGATAGAATAATTTGAAGGCTTTAAATATGTTTATCTGGTTCAGTGAACCTACGGGGAAAAACTAACATGCACAGAGCAGAACTGCGGAGGTTGGGCAGGTGGCATCATCTCTGAAACAGGAAACAGCAGGGTTTATGGGGTCATGTTAAAAAACACTTTACTACAGCAATGATACCAGTGATCTGAGATATAGTAGATACTAAAAATGTCTCAACAGTGTTTTCATTAGTTTATGATTGTTTAAGCAATCAGTTTAACGAAAATAGATTAACTTCTAGTAAGGGATCAGGTTTAAAGTTGAGAATGATCCTAAGCCAGTTTAGAACCTCTCCGTTCATTTTTGATTTCCAGTGGGTGTTATTAATGGGCACAGACCAAAATGCCTCTGGACACAAGTGGACAGACAATCAGAGAAATGAAATGTTACCTACAACCAACCTAGCAGATTGCGAAACGTGTAACATAGCGCCAAGTGACACATGCAAGTTTAGTGGTGCTTGGTCTGTTTTCAAGCAAGACACAATGGCCAGGTCCCAGACTTTATCAAATTACAGCTAAATAGTACACTAAAGTGTGTTTCTGAAATCCATCGAGACAGGAAATAGGCAATGCAGTAACAGAATTTTTATTCGTATTTGATCAGCACTACCTAGTCTGAGAGTTGTGCAGAGACTGGTGATGCTGCTCTGTCAATGCTTGTATTAAACCCGAATCAAATTAGATAAATGGTTGTGACTGGCCCACCCAGGAAAAGGCTGGGTGGAAATCTGTTTGAATGGTAGGGGAAAGAAATGGATCTGCCAGAGCAAATGACACATGAGCTCCCAGATTTGTCTGGTTTCCAGGCTAATCCTGAACCTGGTTTGGCCATAAATGAATAATGCAAAGGATCAGTCAGAAACTCTGATGTGCCAAAACATTCAAACTACCATGAATCCAAAGTGTTCCACAACTATTGTTGTTTCTAACCTCAGTATGACTTCTGTTTACCTAGACGTATACTGTATATTGCTGCTCTGTGTTTTCATATTAACCAGGCTTCAGTATTCTGTTATTAGCAGACAGAAACAAAGGGCATAGCTGAAATGTGTAGGGATCCAGGGATCCAGAGATGGAGGAAAATCTAAAGAAGAGAAAAAGATGCCTTTGTAAACCTCTTGTAACTCTTGTAGGATGTTGTGGATGAATGGGTTTAATACTGCCTGTGTTGCTGTGAATTTTAAACTCAAGCTAAAGTTGTTTTTTATCCATGAGACATAAATTCGATGAACTGCAAGCCACCTGCCCGTTCCTGTAGTGGAAATAAAGGTAACGAGAGCAAACTATCTTTTTTTTGTAGTTCAATATCCCAGTGGGAGCCATACTAACAAGCTTCTTATCCCAGCCCTGCTGTTTATAGCCAACACACCTGGCTGACCAAGCTTGCTGCTTTAATGAAAAACTCTTTAAAGCTCAAAAAACAAAAGGTGTTAGTCCGACTAGCAACACATTACCACCCTCTGGGATGAAGCAAAACATGTTGATAATTTCCATAAGCGAAAAGCCTCTTGCTGTTTGTATTGAAAGTTTATAAAATAATCACTTTATAAGTTTGCCCAGTATTTGTTTGCACAAACACCCTACGTGACCCCCAAACCACCTGAGCTTCTGCCGGGGCACTGCTGATGTTGTTTATGTGCTCATGTTAATTAAATTACTTAGATCTGAGTGGGGATGATTAGCATGCTAGCAGTAATAGCTAGCAGGGAATCCAATAGCCTATTACCATAATGAGTCCCTTTGGCGCACTGTGTGGGTAGGTAAAAGAGAGGAAGAGAGTGAAGCGGTTATGTCAGTCGCCCAGAGAAGAGAGTTACATCAAAGGACAAGTGTTTTTGTTGTTGTTGTTTTTTTAAGCAGAATACATGATTCAAATTGATTCGTCCAACCTGGCACGAATTAGGCACTGTCACTGCTGGGATATGGCAAAGAGGAAACAAACAGTTTGCCAGCATATCAGCAACAACACACCCTCACACATGTGTAAAAAGTTTAAATATTATTCATCACTGTTTCATCATGTCCCAGAGGTCCCAGAGATACTGTAGGAGAAGAAATTAACATATGCACAGATAATGATACACATAAATATACTCCGCAGGAATTTCTGTTCAAACATTACCACACAGAGATATATACACACAAACACATGTGGTGGTGGGGGGCTCTGCACTGCAGCAGGCACCTGCAGCTGTGCCCCCACTCTGCTCATTATACACCTGCTTCCACATACTGGACTGCTGCTGCACATATGCTCTCGACCTTGTGCTTAATGTGGTATAATATCACGTTTGTCCAGTGTGTTTCAATGTAGTTATGGTTGCATTCATTGTTTAAAGCCTGGGTCTTTAACAGGGGATCCACAACCCCCAGGGGGACACCAGAGTCACTGCAGGGGGGCCACGAAATTATTGTTTGATAATTTAAGTTTTAATCTAAATTTATTTATTTATTTATTCAAAAATTAGAATATATCTGTAATTACAAATTAACACGAATCCAACGTATTATTAGCAAAGATAAATTGGCCTAAATAAAAAAGACATTTAAGTTACAGTACACGACATTTACAAAAGATTATTGTTACCCACAAGCGCAGTTGTATATGTCTGTTTGCCTCAGTGTAACTTATTGCAATGTTTTATGCTGCCCTCTTGGCCAGGTCACTCTTGAAAAAGAGATGTTTAATCTCAATAAGGCTTTTACCTGGTTAAATGAAGGAGGTATACATATATTTGAGCTAGCTAGCACTAAATCACTGTGCGGCACCTATCCATAATGGCAGGTGAACTACCCTAAAACTTCTATTAGCCTGTTTAATTTAATGATTAAAGGAAATAATACCTCCAGCTATTAATTGAACATTTACAATACTTAGCTAGCATTTAAATGGTAAAGCACTGCATTTTTATAGCGCCTGTCTAGTCTTCCACTCAAAGCACTTGTTACACTACATATAACATTCACACACTGGTGGCCGAAGCTACCAAACATGGTGCCACCTGCTACAAAAAAAACATTCAAGCACTCTCACCGATGGAAGAATCGGGAGAAATTCTATTTGGTATCTTGCCCAAGGATACTTCAACATGCGAACTGGAGGAGCCAGGAATCGAAGACCTGCTCCACCTCTGAGCCACAGCCACCCCATTTACATTCTGTTGAAATATTTTGGCCAATTTGTTGTATTATTATTCCAGTAATACACACACATTGACATTCTTGTGAGCAACAGTGTATCATTCTGTTACTTTTTAAGCAAGACGCTCTGACATACTGTCCATTTCCGGAACAAGGAGCAAAAGTGCAGAGGGTGAGGTTAACACATCTAGTCAGGCTACAACTGCTGCTGACTTAGCAGCTACAGGCAAATGCAAACGAGAGAAGAGCAAAAAAATATTCAGAGAGTTATCTCAAGTGTAACTCAGTTTTATACAATATATGAAATAGCTAAAGGGTCCTTGTCCTGAAAGACTCCAGGATTAAAGGTTTAAGATTTTGTGGTTGCTGTTGAGACAATATTTATTCATATTTAATAGTGCAGAATATGTGCTTTTCCCATGAGGCCCTGTTTTCCTTTTTTGTACCCTGGCTCTTTATCCTGTTTTACTTGAACAGTTACAGCACATCCTGTCTTTGTTCCTCCACCTGCTACACTTTGATGTTCCTTGACTTCCAAGGAATGTGTGCTTAAGAGAGCTGCTCCTCAGCATCTCCTCAGCACCATGCACAGTCACTAGTTTGAGTTAAAATCAAACTCTTTCTTTTACGCTCACCAGTGAGCGAGAGCCCCAGAGCAAACGAGGAACATCTGGAATTGCCCTCCGCTCATTAACTCAAATTTTTAACACCAACACTGTCTTTCATTCCATCTCTGGGGACGGAGAGGAAGACTTATTGCTGCATATATTCCTGCTCCCTCAAGGAGTTTGAATACTGTATATGCAGTGTCCTCTAACTCACATTTTTCTCATCTACTTTCACATGCACAAAAGTTGTAAACTTAAAGTGGATGGCCTTATTTGACAGCTCGATTTAGTTTCCATAATTCACTCTACTTATAAAAGAGCCTCCATATGTATAATGAGATGTATTGCAGATTATGCATAATCAATAAAATGAAAGAAACAATGTCTCTCAAAATATTAACCTCCATTTTCCATTCCCTTGTCCCATTCATCCTGTAGATGCCAAGGCCTGCCCCTCCAAAGATTTCCAGTGCCACAATGGGAAGTGCGTGGCCCCAATCTTTGTGTGTGATGGAGACGACGACTGCGGGGATGCCAGCGATGAAGAGAAGTGCACGGCTCCCACCTGCGGCCAGCAAGAGTTCCGCTGCAATGACTCCGAGTGCATCCCCGCTCTGTGGAGCTGCGATGGCGACCCGGACTGCAAGGACAAGTCGGACGAGTCCATGGAGCGCTGCAGCCGGAGGACAGAGCCCCAGAAACCTCGCTGCCCGGTGGGCGAGTTCCAGTGTGGGAGCGGGGAGTGCGTCCACATGAACTGGAAGTGAGATGGAGACGCGGACTGCAAGGATAAATCGGATGAAGCAAACTGTCGTAAGTCATCTGTGGATATATTGTATTAATGTGGCTGGACTGATGAGTGGGTGTGTAAATTAGTGTGTAAATGAGTGTGTGACTGAATGGACTTCTACAAGATAATGCTGCTGTCATTTTCATTATTATCAAGAAACCCTGAGGAGACTGAATGTACCCAATCAGCAGTATTTCTTTTGTAGCCACAGCATGATATAGCATTTCCCCAGTGGCATAGCATGCCAAAAAAAACAATAAAAGAAGCCATTAACATATAGTTCAATTAAAACAAACACTGTGTCAGTGTAGTTTATCCTGAAACAGCTCCATGACTGCATTTTCAGTCTCCAGAGAGCAGCCCTGATGTCACTGCACTGCTCAGGGACACCGCTTTGCCTGTAATTTACATTAACAGTGTTCATTTTAATGAAGGAATATGTCATCCAGTTGCAATGTTATGGTTCTTTAATGTAATATATATGTTCCATGACACAAAGGCTACACACGGTACTTATTTGGAGGCTAAATTCATGGTAGGTCGGGGCTTTAAAAAATAAATGTCATGATAAATGATAAAAAATTACTACCAGCTGTAGGCCTAATTAATCCATAGCAACAATAATTCATGTTGTAGAACAATGGTTATGTGTGTGGCTCGCCACTACTGAGGGAAAATACTTCAAAGGCTGACATGCTGTGTATTGTGAACAAAGACTACGAGACAAATCTCATTGTGCCGCCACAAGATTGAAGGAAGATCAGTACTAACTTTATCATGATGATCCATGAGTGTGTTGCCATGCAACCATGTGATCTGTGTAAGCAGAAGGAGAATCTGAGAGTGTGTTTGACCATATGTGTTTGTTGTGTAAGTGTGTGTGTGCGTGTGTGCGTGTGTGCGTGTGTGTATGCGTGTGTGGGAGGTGAAGGTCCTTCATCAAGCGAGACCCCCATCTGGTCTCCTCTTCACACTCCCACACACCACTCAGTGAGATGACAGCAGCCTCGCACATAGGACATGATACAAGCACACTGCGCTGCCACACACTCACACACACACTTCCACACACACTTTCATAGACACATGTATACATGGAGATCATGCCTATGCTTACATGCAGATTTTTATGTACATGCAAATGCAAATAATGAAATAATGCTACAGTCACTGAGGGTTGGTACGGCACTTAAAGGCACTCCAGTCTGACGTAGTCACTCTAAAAGTGAATTACCACACAACCCCAGCACAAGCAGCTGTGGCAATGTGTATGTTGCATGTAATGAATAATAATACTCCTCAAAACCCTCCCATCTCTCCAGACACGATTTCTCAAGGCCGACAGGTCATTACTATTTATTGTCTTTGAGGTCCAGATAACTATGTAGGTATGCACTGTATAATAGAATAAGCCTTGATGTGAATATCATATGACAACAAGGTTAAAAACAACATACAAATGAGCATCAGAGTCATAGCATTTATGGAAGAATCTTCCATCTAAATCTTCCTGGGCATCAAATTTTTGTTCCTACATCCACTTAATCTGTACTGGAAGGATAGAAGTTGAATGTTCGTTTTCCAGAACAATTTAACACGATGATTCACGGTCTTCCAGATCTGTCGTGCTACCTGAAATAACTCTGATATACTCATTTAACTATTGTGGCCTGTCCTGTTCATTACCTCTCTATTCATACTTCTAATTATTGTTAAGTATATGAGTTTGATAGGTGGCTATTAAGTGGTTTTCTGAAATAATTAACCCTCATAGGACTTTTGTCCTTGTGACTTCCCAGACACCCATTGTGAATATTATCTCTCTATTAAATAGACATTAGTGGTCATCAGCGTTATAGATATAGCTTAGAACAGTAGTTCCCAACTGGATTTCTCCTTAGTCATTAGTTCTCCTTAGTCCAGGTTCACACAGTTTAACACATTCAGCGTCATACTTGTGTTTGGCCATGTCTTTGGGCTAGTTTGCTGTCTATGTTAAGTAGCTGTCCATTGGTTGCACCCTCTGCAGCAGGAGACAGCACCTCAAATTAACGCTGTGTGTTGGAAATTCATTGCACTTGAAAATAAAGTTGCATGTCACCTGCAGTTCATTCAGAATGGTGCCGCGACCACTTTTGGACCACAACCCACCAGTTGGAAACCACTGGGTCAGATGGCTCCTGCTTAATCGACCAGTATGTTCAAAATGCCATTATCACCTTATTAAATGGCTGCTGGCACAACTTTACGTTTCTTTATGTTTCATCAATGCTGTGGTTAGCATGTGGTTATGTTTAGGCACAAACACCACTTAGTTTTGGTTAGGAAAAGAGCATGTTTTAGCTAAAAACACCCACGTTTGGTGGCACAAAGCCGCTGGAAACGCAATGATGGGTCACTACAAAAAACACTTGTGTGGGCACAAATGCTGCAAGAAATGCAGTGATGACTTGCTAATAAAACACCCAAGTTTAGGGGAAGACACACTGCTGGAAACACAGCAACAGGTTGCTAAAAAAACACCTACGTTTGGGGGCACAACCACTGCTGGAAATGCCTAAATGTCTCGCTAAAGAACAGCCGGTGTTGTTGTGTGTCAGTCTCAAACAGTGGTCAGCAGCTCGCCAGCCGTCTCGCCCAGATGTTACACCATCCGCCATCCTGTCCACCTCCTGATGACAAAGGCAGTCAACTAATATACCTGTGAATGTATAACAAGAAACGCAGCCATTTAATAGCTGGTAACGGCACATTAAACATAGTCGTCTGTGTAGCAGGAGCCTTTTAATCTTTATCCATTATTATGATGACCAGTGTGGCTGTTTAATTGAGAGATAACTTTTAACTTTTAGTTTTGGCTACAGTACATTATTATTTGAGAATAATGCCATGAATAATAAAAAAGCACTGTATATCTACACAAACAAAAACAAACCCAGCAACAAATTTGAATAGCGATGACTTCTGACAGAGTGACAGCAAGTGAAGTGCTCTTGCCTTGTCTACATGAGCCAGTGGAGTCATCTGTCTCAATAACCATGTTCAGTATTTCACAGATATGATGAGACAGGAGCTGTGTGTACTATATGTATTTGATTGGGTCTGTGTGCATGCTCACCACAGTGTGAATAAAAGTGGGCGGTTGGGAGGTTTGTGTCAAACAAGATGTAATAGTTTTAGATGTCTGTGTAATGTAAATGAGGGAGCAGCGCTCAGCTAAGGGAGGTGCAACATTTCAATGTAAATTAGAAATGTGAGAATCATTGCATATCTCCAGTTTGTTCTCTCCTCCTCCTCTATTCCACCAAGACTGGCTCATTCCCACGGACCCGTCCCCTGGTTATTATCTCCCATCTTATTTGAAACATCTGTCTCAATAATCCTGTGTTATTTCACAGACATGCTGAGACAAGTGACTGCGAGGAGGGTGACAGGAGGTTAATGTAAATGAGGAATGGTCAAATCGTATCTCGGGTTGGTTCTCTCCTTTCCCTCCTGCCAACATTTCTGCAGATGGCAATCCGTTATTATTACTATTCATCCTGGGGATTTATCATAATTAGCTGAGCTCAGATCCCAATCATTTGGCTGAAAGAATCAGCACATTTTGTGATGGCACAGGATTATGTCTTCCACACTTTGCTGATTTTAGCAGTAATATGTGTTTATCTTTATTTTTTTTTTGTTTGAGCATTAAACGCCTGAGTCAGCTTTTGCATGTGTTCATGAAAATGTGCGCCAGTCTTGCTGCATACATGCATTTGAGTTTGGTCATTCGATGTGTCTGTGTGCATCTGCTCAACTACAGAATGTGAATCTGTGGACAGCCCAGTTGCCAGAGGAAAATATTGGAATTGTACATTTCTGCAAACCTCAGATACGTTACAGTTGTGCACTACACATGTATCATATCAATGTGTCTAAAGTGACGTAGCTGTGCTTACATGTATATGAGCTGACTTTGTTATCGGGGAGCGGAGGGTATGGTTGATGGCGTGACACCTGGCTGAGACAGCTATCAAATGTCAGCCTCCACCAGGGGTTGTCCCTCGTCACCAGTTCTGTTTGTGATATTTAGAGACAGGAGCTCAAGGCGCAGATGGGAAGAGGAAAGTGTCCTGTTTTGGGACCTAGGAATTGCATCACTGCTCTGAGCAGATGATGCGGTTCTGTTTACTTTATCACACTGTGACCTCCAGCATGCACTGGGGCTGTTTGCAGCCCAGTGTGAAGCAGTCAGGATAAGAGTCAGTACCTCCAAGTCTTAGGCCGTGGCTCTCTGCTGGAAAATGGTGGATTGGCCCCTCTGGGTTGGAAGAGAGTTACTGCCCCAAGCAAAGGAGTTCACAAGTGAGGGTAAAATGGAGCGTGAGATGGGCAGGCGGTTTGGCGTGGCATCTGCAGTGATGGGCGCATTGCACCAAACTGTTGAGGTGAAAAGGGAGCTGAGCCTGAAAGCAAAGCTCTCAGTTTACTGGTCCATCTACGTTCAGACCCTCGCCTATGGTCATGAGCTTTGTGTTGTCATCAAAAGAATGAGGTCGTGGATACAAGCGGCCGAAATGAGTTATCTCTGTCGAGTGGCTGGGCTCAGCCTTAGAGATAGGGTAGGGAGCTCGGACATCAAGAGGGAGCTTGGACATCAAGAGGGAGCTTGGACATCAAGAGGGAGCTTGGACATCAAGAGGGAGCTCGAAGTAGGACTGTTGCTCCTTTGCCTCAAAGAAGGCCAGTTGAGGTGGTTCGAGCATCTAGTCAGGATGCCTTCTGGGTGCCTCTGTTAGTGGTTTTCGGGAACATTCAACAGATAGGAGGCCCTGGGTCAGACCCAGAGCACACTGGAGAGATTTTATATCTCATCTGGCCTCAGAACATCTCGGGATCCCACAGGAGGAACTGGAAAGTGTTGCTGGGGAGAGGCGACTGGATTACCTTGCTCAGCCAGCTAGCCCTGCGACCCCGCTCAGGATAAGCAGATGAAAATTGATAAATGGAAGGAAAGGGAAAAGCAGAGGGGCCCCAGAACAGAGCCATACAGCAAAATATAATACTGCGAATGGAAATAAAGTTTTCTTTGACTAAAGTCTTCCTGACTGAACCTGGTATTTTCAGCCAACCATTAACTTTTCCTTACCATAAAAAAGGTTGTTTTTTTTTTTGCCTAAACGTTACCAAAGGTTAGCCACAGCATCGTTCAAATGTTAAGAAATGTAAAGTTTCAACACATCCACGACATAATAACGCCCAATATTCCATATAGGTGGTTTACAGAAACGTAAGATGCCAACATTTATCCTGACAGTTTGGTTGTTGTGGATGTCTGCTCACTCAGTGTGAAACAGTGTGTGTGGCTGTGTTTAATTCCATATTTCCCGATAACAGTGAATGTGTGCCACGCATTCTTGTGGCCTCCACAGCCATTGATCATGTCTGCCTCCATTCCCTCAGCAGAGCCAGTCCAAAACACAAGACATGAATAATTAAACAGCCAGTTAAAAAGACGAATGAGTTAAATAAACCTGCCCTCCGCCGTTAGAGCAAGCACAAACAAATGCCCATACACACTTGCACATACACACACACTCAATAGGTCACTGGATGTGGGTTTTCCTCAGACAGTGAATGAATAGCTGCCTGGTTTTCATTTCCATTGGGGCTTTTTCTGTGCAGGTAAGAGTTGTGAATGACTGATTACTGTTGGATTGGAATGCACTCCAAGTTGGCCTGATTAAACAACCACAACAGACTCTGAAAACAAATGCACATCTTCATAGACAAAAATGAGGAAGAGAAATGATGATGGCCTGAGTGTTGTATTCTTGTGTGTTTTCTTCACTTTGCTTACATTAGAGTAAATGTTTAAGAGTGTTTATGAGGGTTTATTTCTCCACCAGTGACTGAGTGTGTTTTTTTTAAAATGCTGTCTTGTGCTATGAAATTTGTATTTTTATATAGAAGAAACGAATAGATGACATTGTCACGCTAATAATAATACAACAAGCCAGCTAAATCTAATGTGTATGTGTGCGTGGTTTTTTGTCCCCCCAGCCCTGCTTACGTGTCGACCTGATGAGTTCCAGTGTGGTGATGGATCCTGTATCCACGGCACCAAACAGTGTAATAAAGTTCACGACTGTCCGGACTACAGCGATGAAGCTGGCTGTGTCAACGGTAAGTGACTGATGAGAGTACGAGATGTTCAAAGTGAAACTCACACCTGTGTAATATTCATTTTCACATATGCACTTGGCGCAGGTAGCCGTATGGTAGTTTTTCATCTGAGTGTTGTGGCAAGATTCATATTCCATATTCTACAGCTAAGAAAAGTGGTAATGCAATCCTTACAAATGTAATTTCTGTTCGCAAGGCATCATCTCAGTGCGTTTTTTTAGTCCTTTTGTCATACTTGATTCACCCTGAAAATCCATCCAATTACAACTTTAATACCACTAAGAAGATTCACAGGGGATACAGTAGAAAGAAGCACAGATGGCTGCAGTTGGCTGCACTAGTTGAATCTGCCCCATGAGAAACTGTTTAAAGAAGTAAGATATGCACTGCTAAAGCAACATGGCATGAAGGAATGGGAGTGTAAGAGGCCACGGTGTCGAAGTGTTTTAAGATGCTCAGTATGTTTGTGCCTTAAATCTCATTGAACGTATTAAGTGTTCACAGTGAAATGTGACTGTGGAAAGAGAGGGGCATTATTCCATTTGCAAACAACAGTGATACAGATATATTTTACTGCATAGGGCAACACATCACCTTATGTTTATATATTGTGGCACAGAGAAAAGCTCAAGGTCATCTTTACACAATGTGCCCAGCTGTGAACTTTATGTTGAAGCCAGTGTTTTGAAGTGCACCTGTGAACCTGAAATTGATTTTTTACTCCTCATAGTTTTCAAAAAGGGCATGGTAGAGAACATGTGTGCATGCCTCTGTGGATGCATTTTATTTTTTATTTTAGTTATTTATGTACTTTTCTCTTATTCTTTTTTCATTTTGGGGGTGGTGGGGGGTGGAGGTGGCGTCCTGTATTGTACATATATATACAGTACAGGCCAAAAGTTTGGACACACCTTCTCATTCAATGCTTTTTCTTTATTTTCATGACTATTTACATTGTAGATTCTCACTGAAGGCATCAAAACTATGAATGAACACATGTGGAGTTATGTACTTAACAAAAAAAGGTGAAATAACTGAAAACATGTTTTATATTCTAGTTTCTTCAAAATAGCCACCCTTTGCTCTGATTACTGCTTTGCACACTCTTGGCATTCTCTCCATGAGCTTCAAGAGGTGGTCACCTGAAATGGTTTCCACTTCACAGGTGTGCCTTATCAGGGTTAATTAGTGGAATTTCTTGCTTTATCAGTGGGGTTGGGACCATCAGTTGTGTTGTGCAGAAGTCAGGTTAATACACAGCCGACAGCCCTATTGGACAACTGTTAAAATTCATATTATGGCAAGAACCAATCAGCTAACTAAAGAAAAACGAGTGGCCATCATTACTTTAAGAAATGAAGGTCAGTCAGTCCGGAAAATTGCAAAAACTTTAAATGTGTCCCCAAGTGGAGTCGCAAAAACCATCAAGCGCTACAACAAAACTGGCACACATGAGGACCGACCCAGGAAAGGAAGACCAAGAGTCACCTCTGCTTCTGAGGGTAAGTTCATCCGAGTCACCAGCCTCAGAAATCGCAAGTTAACAGCAGCTCAGATCAGAGACAAGATGAATGCCACACAGAGTTCTAGCAGCAGACCCATCTCTAGAACAACTGTTAAGAGGAGACTGCGCCAATCAGGCCTTCATGGTCAAATAGCTGCTAGGAAACCACTGTTAAGGAGAGGCAACAAGCAGAAGAGATTTGTTTGGGCCAAGAAACACAAGGAATGGACATTAGACCAGTGGAAATCTGTGCTTTGGTCTGATGAGTCCAAATTTGAGATCTTTGGTTCCAACCGCCGTGTCTTTGTGAGACACAGAAAAGGTGAACGGATGGATTCCACATGCCTGGTTCCCACTGTGAAGCATGGAGGAGGAGGTGTGATGGTGTGGGGGTGTTTTGCTGGTGAAACTGTTGGGGATTTATTCAAAATTGAAGGCACACTGAACCAGCATGGCTACCACAGCATCCTGCAGCGACATGCCATCCCATCCGGTTTGCGTTTAGTTGGACGATCATTTATTTTTCAACAGGACAATGACCCCAAACACACCTCCAGGCTGTGTAAGGGCTATTTGACCAAGAAGGAGAGTGATGGAGTGCTGCAGCAGATGACCTGGCCTCCACAGTCACCGGACCTGAACCCAATCGAGATGGTTTGGGGTGAGCTGGACCGCAGAGTGAAGGCAAAGGGGCCAACAAGTGCTAAACACCTCTGGGAACTCCTTCAAGACTGTTGGAAAAACATTTCAGGTGACTACCTCTTGAAGCTCATGGAGAGAATGCCAAGAGTGTGCAAAGCAGTAATCAGAGCAAAGGGTGGCTATTTTGAAGAAACTAGAATATAAAACATGTTTTCAGTTATTTCACCTTTTTTTGTTAAGTACATAACTCCACATGTGTTCATTCATAGTTTTGATGCCTTCAGTGAGAATCTACAATGTAAGTAGTCATGAAAATAAAGAAAACGCATTGAATGAGAAGCTGTGTCCAAACTTTTGGCCTGTACTGTATATATATATATATATATATATATATATATGAGTGTGTGTGTGTAAAATAATTGCAGGGTCTCATAAATGTAGTGGAATCATTGTTATAAACCATGGTTAAACTTGCAATGTGCAGGAGGGGGGTCTTTTGGCAGAAAGGGAATATAATATTCATAATTACGTTTTCATTAGTGTTTAATTACCTGAAACTAGGAACTGTTGGGTTTTCATTAGCATAAAATGAGCCCTTCATATTTACATAGGGGGCAAGTCCTTCTCCTTGGAGCCCAGGCCTGTGGGAACTGTGCTGGGCTTTGCAGACAATTTTCGTAGTGGCCAAACAGTGGTACTGCAGTTTCCAGGGTCTGTCACATGATGCCATTGGGCCCAAAAGACTTTTTTCCCCATAGACTTACATCAGGAAACAGATGCCTATAAATCAGTGGATACATTTTATTTTGAGCATCACAACCAAGATTTAATCAATTCGGTCCAATAGCATTTAGAAAGTCAACAAGAGCCACAAGATTAAATTATTTTATCCCCACTCAAGTTAGTGGAGCCAGTAGAAGTTGGCCGCTTGGTTTCTCTCAGCTGCTTAGCCATGCTCGATGGCCCTAAGTCTCTAGTGCACCTGCTCTATAGGCCCAATGATGCAGAAGCAGCACTGATCATCTTGTGCATTTCATACAGCGGACATAGAGCGATTTTGGCTTCATGCGCCACTGAGCAACTTTCACAGAAATGAATTGAGCCCGGCCGCCAATGCTGTATCCAGATCTTTTAATACATCCATGGTGGAGCCCACCATGTTGCACCGCCATGTCTCTACTGAACCCAGAAAGGACCCTCAATCAAGAGAGGTTACCTGAAGGCAACCAAATTTTCTCTACAGGTTTTCAAAGAGAGGGGTGAGCGGAAGGGTATTCAGTTGGTTGCAATCCACAACCTCACTGCTAGATGCCACTACATCTGACATACTGGACCCTTAAATAAATTAAAATCTTATCTATGGAAATCTCTGACATATCTTAATATTGCTCTCAATAAGCTCCACCGGCTATCTATTATCAAAATGGTATAGTAGATAGCTATAACTAATCACTTTAGCTCCTACTGTGAGCAAGAACAATCAACTTCCTGGCTGACTATCTGCACAAACTGCAAAAGAATTTCACAGTATTGTTTGCAAAAGCATCATAGTTACAATACTGTATCTGCCAACCTACTTTTATATACAAAAGAATAAGAAAATGTTTTCTCTCTGGAACTGTCTGTGCTACCAGTCATGGTATGTTAGCAGTTTGCATTTTGGTGGGATTGGGTTTTTGTTGTAAATTTGGTTCAGCTGTTCAGGATTTGTTTAAAACACCTACTAACGTCCCTGAACCTTGTGTGTGTCTTGCTGAAATGGATGTAGTTCAGTAAGTAAGAACCTGATCTCGAACTTTGTTGTCTCCACCACAGTCACAAAGTGCGACGGGCCAAGAAAGTTCCGCTGTAAGAACGGGGAGTGTATTGACAGCAGCAAGGTGTGTGACAATGTGAAAGACTGCAAGGACTGGTCTGATGAACCCATGAAGGAGTGCGGTAAGATAATTAGTCTCTGCTTCTCTTCACACACCTACATACCCACATACCCATTAGCTCTTTCACCACCTCAGGCATACATGGATGTATGTACATGCTGGTGTAATAGCACCGATGCACACGCTCATACCCAGGCATCATCAACTGCCTCTAATGTGGGTGGTCACTCATCTAAGTAAAAGGAGCTTCATTTGATCAAGGCAGGGTAAATCAGGACATTTCTCAACTGACTTGTTATGATCAAAGAGCCAAGCGACTCTGCCCTCTAGTGCGATCTTAGCCAGGAAAACGTGACCGGACTACATTAGCCATAAGGAACCACACAGATTATCCACACACCATAGATAATTACCACTTAGCGAGCTTCTGTCACGGATCTTACATCACAAGCAGTGCAATCCAGCTCCAAACAGAGTGAGGCAGTTCAGAAAAACATACCTGTTAATTGAAATCCATCAAGTAAATATAGCTTGTAACTTTTAACTGTTACACAAGTACAAGCTGAAGTCTCTTAGATTACTCAAGGGAACTGCACTTCACTCACAGTCCTGCTCTGAAGTAGAGTGATCTCAAGCCAGGCATCTGGGTATCAAATTATATGTGAGAGTGCTGCCCTTTCAGCGAGCTCTGATCTTGAGGCAGATGGATATACACTGTAATGAGATTGCCCTGTAACCATAACATTAATGTTAAACATGATGTTCAGTATATCACAAGGCAGACTTGCACCTCCTCTTTGTTGTAGCTATATCTGGCAATGACATTTTCTGCAACAGTGAGAACGTGATAGTTCCAAGGCCAGGACAAAGCAATGCAAAATGACTCAAAATGAAGTTATATTTATGTTAAGCGTCACTTACTATAAGGCGGTGTGTGTATCCTTACCATACCATACCATACCATACCAATTTGTTTATATAGCACATTTAAAACAACAGAGCTGAGACCAAAGTGCTTTACAAGTAAAAGAAAAAACAGGTCTAGCAAATGTTTTGAATGGAATTCCTAACTCATAAAACATTTGCAATCATGTATTTTTTACAGTCATGTTTACTTGGTTCTACTGTCCTGCATTTGTTGTAGGGCTGGGCAATAACTAGATATATTGATATTGCGATATGAAACTAGATATTGTCTTAGTTTTTGGATGTTATAATACCGCAAGAGTTATCTTTTCCCGGTGTGAAAGGCTGAATAACAGTACAGTGATGTCATTTTCTGAGCTTAACAGACTGTTTTAGTTGTCCCATTATTTGCCTTCACCCACTTAGTCATTACATCCACATTACTGACAAAAATCAAAAATCTCATTGTGTAAATATTTTGTGATAGCACCAATAGTCAATGTACAGTATTGTCATGATATAAGTATCAAGGCCTTTGGTCTTCCACAATATTTGATTTTTCCATAAGGCTGTACCCTCTTTCAGTAGTTACAACTGCCAGCTGTCTATCAGTGAAATAGTGTGAAAATGAAGGCAAGATGTGAAACACAATCATGCAACATGTTTTCACTCCCAACTCGTCAAATACAGACGCTTCGTCAGTGGCCCTATACGTCAAAATATGATGTGCTAGGTACCCTCCTGCATCAGTTTTGAACTCTCAGGGACAGTGTGTCAATTTACACTTGTTACATGCATTTTTCTTTTCAAAATAAATTTCCGTTTTCACAGGCAATGTACACTTTCTGCTCGTTAAATGCATAGTCTTTTTCAAAATAAACTTACAATGTAGGTTAAAAAACTTTATTTCTAGGTTTACCTCCTTAAGCTTAGGCAACAAAAGTACATGGTCAGGTTGAGAGAAAACATTATGTTTTGGCTTAAAATACGTGCAGTAGTTACTAACGTAATGTGACGATAAGCGATATACTGTGTGTCACCAGCATAGTATGCTACATGTACTAGCACACAAGGTTGTTATTAAAATAACTCCACTGACTTTCGGTTTCACACAGGACACAAACAGCGGGCTCACTGGTGAAAGTCCGGAGTTTGTTTGATCCATCCACCTCCACTCCCACCCGCCCTGTGTGAACCTTTTTGCTCTTTATACTACAGCAGTTGCTCAGAGTATCAAAAACTGACACTATTCATTTCACATGGCAGCTAAGGGTGCCTCTGTGACTCAGTGTCTGACACCAGAGCCACTGACCTAGCGTCAGTATTTGACGAGTTGGGATGAGACCGCCTTGGTTTGCGTGCATGATACAAACAAAACAAGGATCCACTCATAAAAAACACTTTGCTAGTGCTCAAAAACTCTTCAGGGTTCCTTTGAAATCAAGTCACACTGTATGGCCAAAAGTATATGAACAATTGTTTAACATCTCATCCCGAAACCATGTGTATTGATATGCTCTTATAACAGCCTCCCACTCCTCTGGGAAGGCTTGCCACAAGACTTTGTGTGCAGCAGGGATTTGGTGCCATTCATCCACAATTGTATGAGTGAGGCCACTGATGTTGGGTGACAAGGCTTGGCTCACAGGCGGCGTTCAAGCTCAAGTGTTGGATGGAACTAAGGTCAGGGCTCTGTGCAAGCCTGTCAAGTTTTTCCACATGGACCTTGCCTGTCATGTTGAAAAAGGAAAGAAGCTCTCCCCTACCGCCAAGATAAGTTTGGAATTGCTTAAGATTTCATTTATGCTGTACTAAGATTTCTTTTAAAGGGAAATTTCACAGATTCTATATATCAACATTAGTTAGCCATCAGGAGTAGCACTGAGGCTATGACAAAAAAGTAGTATTTTCAAATTCTGAGGAAGGTCACCAGGGTTAGTAGTCCTGCTTGAAAATAAGTTGTTACATGTGTCGACAGTGTCCACATACTTTTGGCCTATAGTGTATTCTGTAGTTGCTAGGATGAAATGAATAAGTTGAAACTGGTTTTCATGTTTTTACTTTATTTTACTGTAATACTATGTTGATACAGAGGTGATTTGTTATCTGATAGAATACATCGACTAGACTGTAAATTGTCCCAACTTTAGTCAAGTGTCTCTCAAAGTCTTTACTTCCTTCCATCTCTTTCTGTCAGTCTCTCTCCATTTCTGTTCTTGCTGTCTTTGTACCTCTCTCTCTCCGTCTCACTGTCTCACAGCAGAACCTGTAGCCTCGAAGCTTAAATCTTTAATGTAAACCGGTAATGAAGTACCAGCTTTAGCTTTCTGCAGCGATCTCTCTCTGCTCCCTGGAGGGCAGTTGAAAGACAGAGGAATAAATGGAGGTGCAGAAACGGATACAAAAAGGAAGGGACATAAAGGAAGCATAACTGAGAGGGAGTCCAATCTGTTCTGCTGCTCTAAAGTACTAAAAAAAAAAACCTAACCTGCTACACGTGGCCAAGCTCCCTGTTGGAGAATGGATTAATTCCAGGTGCATTTGGCTGAGATTGTGGCTATAGGCCATGAACACACACACAAGCAGGCCCATGAATATACTATATACACTCACACACACACACTGGGTCTCTCCTTTTCTCTTCCTTTTATGCTTGATGTCTTTAACAATGGAAAGTTGATGTGTTCATAGCCACACTTGACAGGACTAACTTTTCCTAACTGGCAGCATGATTAAAACTATTCACACGCACAAACGTTATATGTTTTGTCTTTCTGTGCAACTTTTTCTTTGTATTATATCCAGGCTGGATTGTTCTGTCCAATAGCCTGCTGGAGTTATTTCAACATCATTCAACTCCTCTCCACTTCCCTCCCTTCTGGTGCCTGTCCTATCTTCTGTCCCTCCATCCGCTGTCCCTCTCTCTACAGGCCTGAATGAGTGTGCAGACAGCAATGGCGGCTGCTCCCACATCTGCAGGGACCGCAGAATTGGTTATGAGTGTGACTGTCCGTCTGGGTACAAACTCCTGGACAAAAAGACTTGTGGAGGTAAAGAAATCAGAAGTTATGTGACAAAACTATCGCCCTAATGCAGAAGACCGTGACTAATATACAATCACACCTTGTCTGGTCCTCGGCTGGTGCAGTCTATAGAGCCATTTTTTTCTGCCCTCCTCATGTTTCATCATGCTTTATGTAGCTTTGTTAGAGACCATGGGAGCGCCATGAGTTTCACAAGGTTTCTAGCCCAACTGTTTAGACCATATACTGGTAAAAGGAACAACTTGACGTATAGTATTGGGAAATGTGCTTCTTTTTCATTAACAATTAAGTAATGTGTAGGTATTCCATTTGTGTTTAATAAAAAACAAAGCCTGGGACATAACTTCAAGTAATGGTAAACTGCTGCAAGAACAACTTCTTTCAACCACTCCAAAGCGGACATATCTTCATTTTGTATCTTCTTTTTTGTAATACACATAGGGGCAAATTCAAACAAGAACAACTCGGCTTTTGCATGCACAAATAAGACAAAAAGAAACTGTAATTTTTAAAGCACTCACAAAGTGTGCACCCCTACTGCACTGCCAAGCAAATAGCGTCTTGGTGTTCCTGTGCCATTTGCATGTATTTAAATTAGGTAATGTGCATACGTTTGGTGCCCAATTGGCCCCTTCCTATGCAAACGAGATGGTTCAATTCACAAAGATCAAAGTTATTGTACGAGCATCTTCACAACGATGGTGTTAACTGAAGCACATTTATAAGGAGTGTCATGCTCACACTGTCCCCACTGCCTAAACTTTGGAGGAAGGCCTCTCTATACCTGTGGCGTCTGAGGCTCAGGAGGACGTCCACTAATCAGGAGATCAGTGGTTCAATCCCCGGCTCCTCTAGTCCGCATGTCAAAGTATCCTTGGGCACCAAATTGCTCCTGATGGCTGTTCCATCAGTGTGTAAGTGCACTTAAGCTGAGTAACAGGTGGCACCTTGTATGGCAGCCTCGCCCACTAGTGTGTGAATGTGACATGTAGTGGAAAAGTGCAAGTCATTACCATTACCACCTTATTGGTAAGGAAAGTTTTATTTATTTTTTCTTTACCATTGTTCTGCCTGTGTTTTTGGCACAAAGGCAACTTTTATGCGTTGCCATATGGATAATTTCAGTCAAATGCAAAAAAAAAAACAAAGGCAAATAGTGGTTGGAAGTGATGTGCAATTCCAGGTGCTATCAGCAGCTGCGATCTACTTTGTAAATTTGCCCCATAGAATTTGATATGTAATGATTTGGGAGAGGTTATGAGTTGAATGCTGTGACCAACAACCACTGTATGTAGTTGTAATGTAGTGTGGTTGTCAGGCCCTTTAGTAAATATGAAGATATGACCCTTTATTTAACTTCTTGTGGTATGTTTTAACAACCCAACACCATCCATGATGGTAATGTTATTTTCATATCTATGTTGCATAGTGCTGCTTGTGAGATGAATGCACAGTGATAAAGAAAAAAAAAAGCTTGTAACCCTCTGAAATCACAATGCCAGCTTTAGCATTCCCTCTCTTAAACAAGTAAAATTAACCAGATACAACACATAGAAAGAACAGCTTTAAAGTTGCTTGACAGTGATTTGTTTTACTTTGTGCAAAGCCAGGGAGGCAGTTTCCCCCTGCCTCACGTCTTGGTGCTAAGCCTGACTAAACACATCCCAAATCCTGATCTCAGTGAGATCAAATTGGTATTGATCTTCTCATCAGGCCGCGGGTTTGCTAGCAAACAAACATTTCCCAAATTGTTGGACTGTTGCTTTAAAGTTTTATTTGGTTTAACTGTTCAAATGTGCCACCGCTGTCTGTTCTCATAAACAAACCAGCAAGGACAATACATCTGTGCAGTTACTGGCGAAATATTCTGTGGACACAACATTTATATAAAGAAGAATTTAATACAGCAAAGCAGATGAAACATTTTCAGCCACCAGATCCTCTCTCTGACGAAATATATGGAATCATTTTTAAATATTTGCTAAAAATAACTTCAGATACACTTAAAAGCAATGATAGTCTTAGTACTGATCTATGCAAATGGAATTTAACTGGGGTTCTGGCAATTAAATTATTACTTAACAAGTAACAAGCATGCATATTTTTCAAACCAAGATCTAATCCTGTCTGTTGACGCTCTCGGCCAGATAGATAAAAATCCTAGAAACCCCATTTGAAGAATCAGAGTCTTCAATTGAAGTGAACATTCTTTGAAAATGATTGTTAACACAGCAGATACAGAAAATGTACTCTTCTCATTTCTCACTCTTCAGACGAACATGACTTTGTGTTTGTCTCTATAATGTTGTTTTGATCTGCATGTCTTTGTACAATGTTTCTCTCCACAGACATAGACGAATGTGAGAACCCAGATGCCTGCAGTCAGATCTGCATCAACTACAAAGGAGATTATAAGTGTGAATGCTACGAAGGCTACGAGATGGACCCTGCCTCCAAGACCTGCAAGGCCGTGGGTGAGCCATTTATCACACACAGACACACACATATGCATGCTCACACCCATTTGTTCAGGTAAAGACACACACCGTCATAGATGGATGTTCGCACAAAAAATACAGACATGGGCACACATGTACTCGAAAGGAATCACACGTCGAGACCGGCTCTTATATATACACCAATTACTCTCCCATTCCAGCACCCCTAGCTACCGAGGCGCATCCCACACTATTCTCACACTGTGGGATTCTGTGAAACGAGAGGCTCGCTTTGTATGCAGGCCTTGCGTGGCAATCTGTGCAAAGATAAATATTTGCCACCTTTTTCTGCAGTCCTCACTAATGAAAAGTTTGCAGCCAGCTGCCTCTGCTCTCCCTCGAGTGTCAAGGAAAAGGATGTTGTGTGGGGAGGGGGCCTGCCCACTCACCATAGGACACAAGCAGGGTCTGTACCCCTCGTTGGCCTGGGTAAACACTCAGAGCAGTGGTGTGAATGAAAATAAAATCTTGTCCTCAAAGCTGCACCAGGCAAGGTTGTTACTGGGAAATGGTCTGCCTAAATCCGAAAGTGAAGATGCAACTGTAGCTTTTTAGCTGCACCTAAGGATGCCTTTTGAAAAAGCTCCCCTGTGAATTCTGGGTGTTTTTAATCAGTCCCGCCATTCTCAGACTGTTACAGCTGGCTTTTCCGATAACAACGCTGTCTGTCAACAACCATTTAAAGAACTGCAGATAACGTTTACAGCTACCACTGACAAATTAGAGCTTCTGATGGGTAGTGATGTTACGATAAAGGCTGATATATATTTTACAGCAGTGTTGAAAGCAGGATTTCAAAACTGTACATTGTTTCCAATTAAAAGAATAGAGGGATATCTGCAGACATAGAGAGGGCAGGAAACTATAATCAGTGCATCATCAGTGCTTTGTCTGCATTATAAATTTTGCAGGAGACATAAAATCTGTGTTAATGCCTCGCAAAAACCCCCTCACCTAAATTGGGAATGAAACCTTTAACCGATTGAGTTACGCAGCAAATTAACTTTTTTTTTTTGTGGGACAAGAGAGAGAAAATAGTGTTACTAGTGATTGCCGCCATCGGTCTTAGGTTGAGTCATTACAGGGTGAACTGGTCTGGTAATGAGAGAGCTTAAAGCAGAAAGCAGGCCCTCACTCTTAAGCTAAGTGGCATAAAAACCACCATTGATTGCTTCATGCCTCTGTGTGTGAATCTTTATTACTGTTAGGCAGCGCAAACAGTCCTTGTCAGATGCCAAGACATTTATTAGAGGGGAGGATAGGCAAGCAGAGAAGGAGAAAAGATAAATGGATGGGATGGATGCATTGTATGAATATCTCAATGCACATTCGAGGTAATGCAGAGAGGCATCCGCGCTGTTGATTGTGGCACATGTTATAGTGTGCCAAAGGAGACGGCATCAAGAGGAAGAGGCAGGAAATGTGATGGGATTATTGTTTATGTTGAGGTTTATTTATTCAGAGGCACAAATAGACATGGGACCGCAAATGCAGAGATGTTTGCTTCGTGAAGCTGATGTAATGTGGACTTAATGAAGCCACATTTGCCTGTTAACTCGTTCCTCGACGCACATACTACATGTACGCCCGATCACACACATGCCATCAGCACACATTCACACTTTGTGATTCTGGTCACACAAATGAACATGTAGTTATCCCAAGGAGTCATGTCGGCATTCACACACAGATACTGGGCAAGAGTGTCACGTTCTCTGATGAGATGTGACACGTGCCAAGTGCCTATATCGTTTGCCGACACCGAAGTTCACGCTGTTATTTGCGCCTCCATCTCGAGGGCACACAGAAAAACACATCGTCATCCTCAAGTTACACGCAATGCTTTATTGTCCCGGCTTTTTCTACATGTGTTTGTTGCGGTTAGTGCAAGTTAAGCGTGTGCAGATAATAACCTCTGCTCTTCATGTTCTCCAGTGTACACAAAGTGCATTTCACTCTAATCCTAATGCATGGTTTCAGGCTCTGCAGATTAATTTCAGAGTAATAAGCAACTGCTACACTAGCAATGCTAATTAAAAGTAAAGTCCCAGATTGGAGCCATAAAGCGTTCCCTCTCCTAAGCTGGTATTTGTGAATGTGCGCGCGTGTTTGTATTAGTACATGGCAGCGTCCATTAAGTCCCCCCCGAAGAAAGCCTTGCTCTACACTAATTGCATTCGTTGCTTTTGTGTTTACACCTTCATGGGTGTGATGCCACTCACTGAGTCGTCGACTTGAGTTATTATTATTGTGTGTAAGAGGGAGAGAGAAGGAGTGGGGGAGTAAGTGTTTGTATGAGGAGGATGGATCCACACTGACTGCAGTTTCTTGACCAGTTTAGTCGTCAGTCATGAATTAGAGTGGATGCAAAATTGAATTTGACAGAGCCCAGAGCAAAAGCAGGGATGGAAATATGAATGCATACATTAGGAAAAATAACACCTGTCCTCTATTTCTCAATGCAGGCTGTTCTTTTTTGATGTTATCGCTCATTATTATCATTATTTTATGTCACAGCTGATCAGTCAACACATAGAGAATAGCTGCAGTACCATATCTAGAGAGAAAAGTTTTGTTTTCTTTTATAATTGTAAAAGTTGCTGAAAGAAAACAGTTTAATGCTGCAACTAGAGCTTCAATAGCTCTGATAAAAACTAACTGATAATAGCATTTCTGCTTTGGTCCTGATAACGAGGACATGTGGACAAAACCAACTAGTGTTAATAATGTCTTTGCTGGATTCAGCCATATACAGGGTTGCCAAACAACCAAATAATAGCTGTGCTGCAGATATGAAGTGTCACATGGAACAATGAACACTCACTCACTGGCTCTGCTAACTACCCTCATTAGCATCAACTTTATAAAATGGAAAAATACAAAGAAAACTTTGCAACTTAAAGCCTAGTATATATTGTAGCATTTTCAATAAGTTGAGTCGCAGTGGTTTGGTGCACTGAAATATTTAAACGTAGCCAACATCCATATGCAGACAATGCAGTTGCTTTTTAATGACAGTTACAAAACTGGGACCTTTTAAGGTAGTCAAGTAAAAGTTTCTGACATCTACAGACAGTAGTACTGTAAGGATGAGGACAAGAAAGACGTGACAGCATGGAATACATTACAGGTACACACACAACCTGGTTGATGAAAGCAGGACACGCTGTCACAACGACGCCGAGGAAATCTACAAACTGCCTGTGGACCGAAGTCTTGCTTTCTTTTCTTCTCTTGTTCCTTGTTCTCTCTCTCATCTACAGTGTACTGCGGGCTTAACCACAGTGCCAAGAGCAGTGTTTTTTTTTCTCCACACTTGACAGTTTGAGCACACACTTTTCAAAATGGGTTTAAAGCAGTGGTCAGATTTTCCCCATTGTCAAAAGATTTTGCCATGGGACCCGAGATGTTGTGGAACACTGTCAAACCTCATCTCAGAAGTTTTTGCTGCAGTTCTGGTCCTTTAATAGACAAGCACATAGCATTTTATTCTGTCTGCCTCTAGGAATGTTGTTAATGTTAATCCAAAATACAAATTTGCATGTATTTATTTCTCATCTATATCCATCTTGAGATGTATAATGGTCACAACTTTAAAATGTTGGTGCACAAATTATTAAAGGAAGGAAATGCAACAGTTTCTCGTGGAGACTGTGGCCATCCACCACAGAAATAATGAAGGCTTATATAACTTGCTTTGTCATGAGGAAAGCTAGCAAGTGGGATGACTTTTTGACTTTTGACAGAAGGTTCATTCCTGCTCGCTGCTGCAGCATCTCTTCATCACTATATAGCATGTGTCTGTGTGTCTTAACAAGCATGGCGATCCAGACATGTGTGTCTACCTCCAGACATAACATCATCCTAATAACCTCATCCACACCGCCATCGCCATCACAAGAGCTGCAGCTAAACTTCCCCATCATCCTGCAGAATTTCATATTTATTTCTAACCTTTCCGTCTGTCTTTATGTTTGCATCCACACTTTGCATCCACATCATAAACATCTGCTTTGGTGCAAATCAAATCAATGTTCCTGCAGTGCCTGGCGGCATTTCCCCAGCCCCGTATTTATCTTTTCACTGCATTATCTTAATTGGCTAACGGGGCAGAACGGCCCTGAACTGGCAGTGCAGATTAAAATATATCTAGGGGACCCTGTTCTTGTTAAGAAAGCTGACTGTTGCTCAGCTGGGATACATTGAGGAGAGATAATATTGCACTTTTTGATGACATCTCTCCTGTCATTGCCTGAAGAAAACAATGACTCAGCTGTTTTTCACTGCGAGGAGGACGTATTGCTGCGACAACAGTGATGAGGGATAAGAGATGTTGTCTTGAAAAAGTGAGTCAGGGGGATTGATGAAAGAGAGGTTAGATCAGTCTCTGTCCTTATTATACATACTTCAAAATGTTCTCACTCTCTTTTTCTCATCTTGTCTTCCTCGCTTCTCTTTTTTTCTCTCTTTTCCCCTCTACCCACCTGACTTTCTCCCCCTGCTGTCATTTGATCTGTTAATGTCTTTTCCTTCTTGCTTCCTCCCCAATTACATCCTCTTACTCTTCATTTCTCCACAACTCTACCTGCATCCATCACATTTGCTTGTGCCTGTCTCTTTTTTCTTTCTTCCCTCTCCCTCTCTCTCTCGCTCTCTCTCTCGCAGCAGGTGAAATTGATGGTTTCAAACCTAGTAGTCAGAGGAAAATGATTGGATCCAAACAGTAGTAGAAATGTAATATTTTCTCCCTGTGCAGTAGCCCATATTAAACCGGGGCTGAGGAAACCTATTGAGGGATGGCTGGCTCTGTGTGAGTCTGTGTGTGCATCAGTGTGACAGTGTTGCCCAACTTTGTCTCGTTACGTGGCATTTCTGCTTTACTGGACAGTGTGGAGTGGAGGGTGACATGACAGAGAAGAGTAAAGATAAAGGAAATAAGCAAGAAAATGAGATAGATGAGTACTTGTGTGAAGAAGAGCAAAAGTTTAGGATAACAAGGGAAACAGGCAGAGAGACAGATCCAGGGCAAAGCGGTACTGTTGAGCTAAAGTAAAGGGAAAGTACTGGGGCACAGTTTGATGAATGATGATGATGGTTTAGGTAAAGGAGTAGTAGTAGATGGATTTGGTCGTGAGATAGTCTGACCAGCCGGATGTGGACTGTAGCTATAAGCCTGCCATTGCCCAACTATTGTGTCCCTCTCTTCTGCTATCTGAGTGTTAATGTTTTCAAGATCCCTTTTGCTACAGGAAACAACAATGACAACATCCGAGCTAACAAATTTGAAAACCTCTTTCACGCGCCTACATGGAAAGCCCAAAGCAGAGAGAGCACATTTCTCTGCCCTTCCACGCGGCTGCAAGGGAAGCCTTAAGGCAGAGAGAGCACACTTCTCTGCCCTTCCATGTGCAAATGAGGAAAGCCTGAGGCAGACGGAGCACACCTGTCTGCCCTTCCATGCGCCCACATGGAAAGCCTAAGGCAGAGAGAGCAGCAGCAAAGACCCCTAGGAACAGAACAGAGCAGCATCAGTGACAAACAGAAATGACATTGATAAGTCAGACACAGCATGAAAAGGAGGAGCTGGGGTGGAGGCAGGTTGCAAAGCGGCTTGCAGAGGAAGCAGCAACAGTAGGCAGGCCAGAGCAGTTTAAATAGGGTGCCCTGAATGAGATTTACCAATTGGTTGCATAGAAACGAATCATGTGATCTGTCAGCTGACTGCCTTCATCAGTCTGCTGCTCCATCAGTTGATTGGGCTGTTTGAGATCAGCTGATGTAGCTGGGATGTGAGCTGAGCTTGACATTGTGTCCTGCCTTAACTAACGCTATGCTCAACTTTTGATGAAGATTTAGATCTTGCAATAAGGCATGCCAGCTTTGTTCTTTCGGTGAATAGTTCTAGATCTACAACTTGTGAACACACCATGGAAAAGAACTGACTTTGTCTGGGAGGACTCTCATGTTCGATTTGAACTGTTTTCTGACAAAGTGAGTCAGAGATGATTTGCCACATAGTAAAGCGATACCTCAATACAGTCTTTTTTGGCCCTGGGCTCTGATCTCGGACCATCGCAACTCCCTGGATTGGCAAACTTTCTGATACCACTGTCAGCGAAGAAGCTCTCCTCCCAGAGAGCCTGCCTGGTTAGCACAAGCTAACACAGCAGCACTAACATTCAACACTGAAGCGTTAAAAGGTCCAAACAAACTTACACTGATACCAAAATGTCTCTGTCTCTGTCCTTAAACCATTTAGGTAATGTTAGCCATGTGATGCTAACAGTTAGCCCTGTCACTGTGTGATTTCCCCCTCAACAGTATTTTGCAAGGACAATGCCACTGCATCCTGAGCTTGGTGTTACCCAGGATAGGTGTGATTAGAGAAACAAAAGCAAGCCAAGTGTTTTTTTTCCCCTCAGAGCACAATGGTAATATGGTGATTCCAGACCTTTCTCAAGCGCTGACACAGCGCTCTGGAGATAGTCCTGGCTATGCGAGATTAGGTGTACGTTGTCTCTGCTATATGCAGGCATGTGCACAAACTATGGAATTTTTTGCCTGTATGTACAAAACATGAAGTTGACCTTGTCAACTGCATGAGAGTTATTCAAATGCTTGACTCATGCTCACCTTCAGCCTGCTGAAAAATGTGCCCCAGGTAACTGATGTGCCAGCCAACAGCACGTACTGTACACACCTGAGGAAGAGAACCCAGAAACACACTTTTGACAAGCTCTTGTGCTAAAAATAGAACGATGTGTCATGTCTAGTCGTTGGGCTACTTTATCCACCTGCACATTGTGCTTCATTACTTCATCCGGCAGCAGGACACGCACTCATACACACACACATACACACACAGGCTCTTTTAATGGATGTGATGTTTTTGAGCCGCCTTGCTTTCAGTTAGGCCCACCTCGCATAATGAATGTGAATAATTAAGTGAACAGCATTATGTTGTGTCAAAAAGTGTGTGTGTGTGTGTGTGTGTGTAGAATAGATTTTCCTTTTAAAATGTTTATTTGGATGATTTATTTATGCTCACATCATCAAAAATGCATGTGTTAAGGACCTAAATAGTACAAATGCAAAACAAGACCTCAGTTATCTTACATTTTGTTCCCTCCTGGGAATAACAGTCAACACTCAACACCACCCATGTTATCTTTGTAGTTAACAGTATGTGTAGGTTTTTAACAGAACTGCTGACATACATGTGAAGGGAGGAGAAAGGATTGGAGCACACTGATCAATCCGGAGTCTTTTATGGTGTAAGCAGACCAACATTTTGGCACTTCTGTGTCTTTGCCACAGTCAAGGCAAATATAGCCAATTAACATAGCAGCAAATGGCCACAAATGGCCAAAACATAAAGTAGGTGTACAGGTATCATTGGATATTTAGTAAAAATGGATAATGGCTCAGAGGACAGGAGTTTCCATGGCAAATGTTACCTTGACATGTCATGTCAGCATCAAGTTTAAAACATATTTTTTATATCACATCAAAAACTTTCAGGTCTTGATGACCAGGTAACACACGACAGCATGTAATATCTTCAAATTATACTGCCAGCGAGCAGCACTGGCATGAAAGTCAACATGACCTTGTCTGTCTCAGGCTCAGGAACAGTGTGGATTGCATTACATTTGCAATGATGCAGATAGGCAGGTTCACCTTTCACAGACAGCTTTGGGATCTGTGCTTCAATTTATGTATCCTTGTCAAGATCAGCAAATGTTTCCTTGTCACACGTACAATAACACACTTATGACTGACAGTATTGCAAATGGCCAGTGTCTAGCAGAGAGTGGGTTGAGAATGATACATGTGCTCTATTGAGGTTGCAGTAGTAGGTTAATGGCTGTCAAGGGTCTCCACACATCTCCTGAGATTTGTGGTGTATCTGTCCAACCTTGCCGATGTCAAGTTGTAAATAAATAGCAGCGAATCAGGAGATGTGCTCCCACGTGATCTTAATGTGAATGTCTTCCCTGCTCCATTAGGAAAGAGTCCATACCTGATGTTCACCAACCGTCACGAGATCCGTCGCATTGACCTGCTGAAGAGTGAATACACACAGGTGGTGCCCACGCTGAAGAACGCAGTGGCCCTGGACGTAGACGTTGCCACCAACAAGATGTTCTGGTGTGATCTATATCATCGTAAAATATACAGGTATGCACGCAAACACACACACACACACACACACACACACACAATGTACATATGATTTGTGTGATTTGTGGACTATCATTAAAGCCTGTATAAAGCCATGAATGGTACTATACAGGATCAGGACTGTAGGAGTTTGGATAACGTTCCCTGCTCGTTCCTCAGTCGTTCTGTCACCCTGTTTCTCCTCTACCCATCCATCTTGTCTGCTTCAACCTGTCACACCTTCTGGTACAGAGACAGTCGTACCTGGGGGTTGTGTTTGTGTGCATGTGAGTGTGTGTGTGTGTGTGTGTGTGTGTCAGTCACACCTGGAGGGCTGTGTCATCTGTCATTAAAAGGTGGAGCTGTTTGTCCTTCACACATACACTATGTGCACACACATGGGTAGGTATACCATGACTCTGTGTGTGTGTGTGGGTGTGTGTGTGCCTCACCCCAATGGCTGACAGGTAGTGGGAGGGGCCTTCTATCATCTCAGCTGAGCCATATGCTCTCTCTAATTTCACTGCCTCAATAATCACCACCATTATTCACCTGCATACGCACACAGGCACACATATGCGCACTGCCACACAAACTCAGAGATACACTCAAGGGCTTGTGACAGAGAAAGGACAAATTAACCCATTCGTCATCTGCTTTGGAGCCGCAAAAAACACACACACAGACACTTTAAATGGCCAGCAACAAGTTAATCTGTACAGTTAAATCTGCTTAGAGTTCTGCTCACCTTCTTGTCATCCTTTCAAAAAACTATACACATTTTATAAACCCAAAGGCATAAAAGTGTACCATCGTCCATTATACTGCTAAATTTCTGTTGGATCATATTATTTTGAAGGACTCTCAGTATATAAGCACCTTTCAGATCCTCTGCTCCTTTTGACTTCAGCATAAGGCTCTTTTAAAAGTTACAATGACCTGCTAGTTCAGAGGTCCTCAACATTTTTCAGGCCAAGGACCCCTTGGCTCAAGGAGATATGGAGCAGGGACCCTTTACTACATGCATTTAAAAAAAACTGAGTTGCACTTTAGGTAAATCTCTGAATACTTTTGGGTCTTCCTTTGTTAAGTTAGTAGCAGTTGCAGCAAGGCTAGGTGCATTAGCCTTATCCACTGCACTTGTGCTGGTTGTTTCTGAGGTGGACAGTGTGTCAGAGTGTCTTGCTTGAAGAGTTACAGAACGATCCATTGTGGCTCACAAGAATGCCTGTACATTTGGAACAACAATAATAATACTACAGCTAATTGGCCATTATCTTTCAATAGTGCATAAATGTTAGCTAACTAGTTCACCTCGCCATTATGGATAAGTGCCATACAGTGATTTAGCGTCAGCTAGCTCACATGTTTAGTTAGCCTATCTCATGTGATGTAAATTAAATGGGGTTTTTGTTATGACAAGGCCGTATTTTCAAATATATTTTGATTTTTGAAGGAAAAAAAACTTTAAGTGTCAAACAGTAATTTGGCCTCAGTATTTTTAGTAACTCTGAGGACCCCCTAGGAGTCGCTGACCCCCTGTTGAAGACCCAGGAGCTATGTCACAAGTACTTAATATGTATTTATTTATTTATTTCCAGCCTATTCCTCCATTCATCCTGCCTGATTCCAGATTTCTAGATTAACTGCTCTTACAGCAACATCTGTGTCAGATGACAATGATTTAGCGGTGACAGTTAGTTGTACCATCAACAGGCATGAACACAATATCAGACTGAATTAATGACGTGAAACAAGATGGCAACTGATTCTAATAATTTGGCTGCCTTTAAAACCCCACTTTGTTTCTGTTCCCTATGACGTGAAAGAGTCAGTGTCCCTTTTTATTGCTTGGCTGTTCGTGTATGTTTTAGGAATCCGTTCCTGTTTTAAAAAGTTGTACCTTGAAGGTTAGGGACATGATTAATCGCGCCCTTAACCCAAGCATCTTACATTCCCGTGCAGTACTCTCCCTCTGATAAGGAGCATTTTGCCAAATAGAAATAGCTGTGTATTTAAAAGTGATTCATCCTCATTGTCCCTCACTGCGACGGTGTGGTTTTCCAGGCTAATTAATAGTGATTAGCAAGCTATGGGTCGATGACTTGTTAACTTCTCCCTGTGATGGAGATGTCTGTTGCAAACAATAATACAGCCAATTAAAGATGCAATCTGCTCAGTAGTCTTGGACTCATCTGTCTCTGTCTTATTTCTTATTCCCGTCTGCCCTCTATTCATCCCTCCAACCTGTTCATCCCAGTCTATCTGAATATTTGTAACTAAAAACAAGGACGTGAGGAGTAAAACCAATGCTCTGTGAGAGTAAGACTATTTTATGTGTGATGTTCACAAGAATGGGATGCATGAAGAGAAATTATGATGTGATTATTATATTGGACAATGAGTAGCATAGACTATAGGTTGCTTCTGTTCGTCTGTAATCTACAGCTCCTTGATAGACCACTGTTGCACCAATTACATGAGAGATTTCATCTGCGTCCTCTGTGCTCTAGCCCTCATTTTAATTTGCACCTTCAGTGAAAGACAGGTGTTGGATCTCTGTAATAAACCCCGGGACACAAGAGAGAAGCCTTAGATTATCCATCACGAGACAGCAGCGGGTTAACTCTCCCCTCATCGATGAAGACGTCTGCGGTGGCAAACAGTAACACAGCCAATTAACAACACAAGCTGCTTCCAAGTCCCTCACTCATCCATCTTCCCCTCATCTTCCTCTGCAACCACCTCGCCAGCCTTTATTTAAGCTGCTCCTACAATCTGCACTCCTCACATTCATTCTGATAGGGTTTGATGATATGTGACGACAGGGTAGTGCATTTCCCGACCTTCCCACAAGGTTGTCTTTCAGTGGCTTGTTTTATACGACTGCAGATGTTGAGATGGGAAGGGAAAAGAAGGGACATAGGAATAGACGGACAGAAAGAAGAAAATGGAGAGAGATTGAGAAGACAAGAGACAGAAAGACACAGAGGGGGGGAGTGACCAAAACAGAGAGAAAGGCAGGTTGTTTTGTAAGCTGCTGATAGATAAAGAGAGATTCTTTCTCCCTGGGAGGTGCTGCTTGGTGGGAGGCCTGGGGTTTGCTATAGAGGTGTCAGCTTTGAGTGCCCCTGACATAGTATTATCTAGAGTAAAGAATACCTGTTCCCCACCACGCGCAGCAATAAGTATCTAAGGCACGTAGTACACTCAAGTCTTTGCTCACAAGAAAAGGAGACCAGAATAGATAGCAACAAATCAAGCAGAGTATAATTGTCCTTCTTTTTCTGCCTATTCCTAAATTATTGGGTATATCATGTTTTCCACGACATCAACTGAGACACCTCTCCTCTTCCATCCACCAGTGCTTACATCAACAAGGCCAGTGACTCATCCCAGCAGGTGACTCTCATCGATTCGCTCCATTCCCCCGAGGGTCTGGCTGTCGACTGGGTGCACAAGAACATCTACTGGACCGACTCTGGCAACAAGAGCGTCTCTGTCGCCACGGGAGACGGCAGAAAGAGAAAAGTCCTGATAGCCACCGAGCTTAGCGAGCCGCGGGCTATCGCAGTCGATCCACACCAAGGGTGAGTGGGAGAAGTTTTGGACAGATGGACAGAGAGGGTGGCAAAGGAGTTGAGGGGAGGGTTAGGGAAGGACGCGAGGGTGGCCGGACAAGCCGTGGGCATTATTGCTAATCTCTTAATAGGGGAAAAGCCAATGTTACTATAAAGTAACAGAATTTTTATCTAAAAATAGGCTCTTTACTACATCATCTGAGTGCTATTTGTGGCGCTGCACCCATCTGTTAGATTAAGCAGCTTAACAACTATATGGAGATACGACGCAGCTCTTGTCTACTCTATCTGCCTCTTTCCCTTTGTCTCAGATGTCTTAGGTTCCCAAAAGGACTCTTTTCACAACTCTACAAAGCTAGACTAGCATGAAATACATGCAAATGAAGCCTAGCTTTAGCACACACACACTGACACACACTTTTAAAAGCGGTCCAAGTTTCCAGCACCAGCAGTTTTACACAGTATCCACTTTCCTCTTGTGTCTTCAAGGCCTGTTTCAAACGGAAAACTACTTGATTTTGCAGAGAAAATGAGATGGAGTGTCAGATAGGGACACTGTGTGATAGGGTACAGTAGATTCAGTCGCATATTAATTGTCTTCTATAATTTGACTATGGCATTACACATGAAAACCAACTCACTGCTCCCGGAAAAGGTCTTTTTATCTTGTTTGCTTTGTTGTCCCCATCCATGTCTGACTGGTTTGTGTGTGTCTCTCCACAGGTTTATGTACTGGTCAGACTGGGGAGGTCAGGCCAAAATTGAGAAGGCTGGGATGAACGGGGTGGACCGACAAGTTCTGGTGTCTGAACACATCGAATGGCCCAACGGAATCACTCTGGGTAAGGAAGGACAGACAAGAATGCAGCTTTGCACATGCAAGGCTCATTGAAGTGTGCAGAGAAAACAATAAGATGATGCAGGGACAGGGAATTCAATCAGCTCCGAGAGCAGTTTTATAAACAAAGTTATAATGCTGGTATTGCTTTTGGATAGAGAGAGAGAAAAAATGAGTAAATACAAGACAAAGGAAGAGACAACAAGAGAGACAGAGTGAGGGAAAGAAACAAAAAGAGACAAACAGCAAGAGCTCAGAGAAGAAAATAGTCTCGGGGTGCTGCAACCCCGGAGTAGCTCTTATTGTTATAGCTCAGTTTGTGTCTGGCTCTCATCAATCAAGCCAGCGAACACGGGCCTCCGAATTAATAAGCCAGACACTCTGCGCCGTCAATACCTCCCATCATCCCTTTCAACTCCCTCCGCGGCACCAGCCAATTTCTCTCAGCTGCCCTTGCCTGAGGAGAAAGAGAGGCATGCAGTTGCCACACTCTGTGGAATTGAGGTGTCACTACATCTGTATGAAAACAAATTATTTTTTAGAGTAAGGCGAATGAGAGAGTTGGCCAGACCGCTGCTGAAGAAGGGGTGGATTTTTTTTTTTTTCCCCTTGGTCATTGATTTCATGCAGAGCAGCGAACAGAACAGTTGATTGTCTGAGTCAGGAGGTGAAGTTGTGAATGAAAATAACTCTGGTTTTTCCTGTTCTTTTTCTGGCATCATAATGTTGAATCAGTTCCTTTTAGGTTTACCCAGCTGACTAGCCTATTGCATATTAGGAATGTGATCAAGCTCCTGATTTTTGTAACTGACGTGGCCTCCTTATATTAAAAAGGAAGCAACAGTATTGTTACTGCCATTATTGCACCAGTGTGGAATTTAACCGGAATTTATGCTGACAAAACCTTTCAAATTTAAGAAAATACAAATGTTCTACTCAAGTTCTTTCACCTCATATGAGGGTTAAACTGCAGTACTGATTTGCAAAAACAAATTAATCTAGGGAAAATAGTTTGTTATATTTAACTTCAGATGCTGAATTAATATCAGTATTTATGGCCATTTTAATTTGGGCATTTTTTAAATTAGTTTTCCAAGGATGTCCAACTTCGTAGCTTTTTTTATTCGGCAGCACTCTTTTCTACTTTGTATGAATTTATGTGGTAAATTGTTTATTAAAAATCCAACATTTTAATAAGAAGATGTAATATTGTCTGTAACAATACATCGATCCATGCTGATATATCGATTCAAAGATCAAGGACCGAGTATTATCAACGCAAAGTGAAAACATCAATACATATCGTCATCTTTAAGATACACCTTCATTTTGAAATTTCCATGGCATGACTGTGTCACCATTTTTGTCCAAGCGCACCTCTTTACTTGATACTTTCCCTGCCAGAGTATTATTTTTAAGTTGCCAGTCACCGCCAGCATTTTTGATCATATTCACTATTCTTTAAAGACTCACAGAATAATTGGTTCTATGAATATGTAAACAGTGTATACATGAAACTAAAGAGGAGACATTCTGTTTTTAAACACAAAAAATATGTTATTCTATCTTATTCCCCATTTTTTTTTATAAAGAGTTGAATTTGTGCATTTTCATAAAAAAAAAACTGCATTTTTGTCAAAGACATTTATTTTCAGGTATAAAATCAAATTCACATTTGCCTTTTCTTGTTTTTTTCTCATTTCCTTATGTCAGTTTGAATTGTATTAATGAAAATTAAAATAATAATAATGATAATGATAACGAAAACAATATTCTCTTTGAGGTATAGCGGAACATGTTGCCACATTCAGTGAGTGTTCTGTTGTCTCTGTCTCCTCTGTGGTCGTCTTGTCCATGTGTCACTGTCACCGTTGTGGAGATCCCGTTTCGTCCCACCACCAAACTCGTTTGCTTCTTTGTCCAAAATCGGATTTAGAATGTGGATCAGAACAGGAATTGTCAGAGTCCATCAACATCTCCACAGCTTGCGCAACCGTAGACTTTTCTGTCGGCGCCAACATTTTTCAAGCTGCTACATCTTCCTTCCGATTTCCAGTGTATCATCTTCTTAGTTTGTTTTTGGAGATGGCAGTGCTGCTCTATTTCACAAGATGTGTAACAGTGCCCCCTATCTTATAACAGTATAAACATGGATTGCCGGAAAATCTTGTCAATGGCGAGGAAAGAGTTCACATTCAAACAGTGATAAAGGCCTAGCACCTCACCTCACCTCAAAATCGTATTGTGGCAGACTTTGAGAGTTTAGAGAATATCGTGTCACTATCTAAAGAATCAATATATCAAATCATGCTGAAACTTGTGATTTACACCCCTGGTAAAAATACTTGATTAACTGCAAGTCCTTCTTCTTGCACAACCGGCAAAGGTCATTTCTGATTCATGTCCCTTGCTGTCAAATTTGATGGAATCTCTAATTTAAATATTCATGTCAGCCACAGCGTTACTTTGTGGTCCACAGCAAGAGCACAAAAACGGAGTCCTAAGGTAAACCAGCGTTGCGGGCCCATACATGGTTGATAGAATTGTAAAACAGCAGAGTGTTCCTTTAACGAAAGTCCGGCAAGACTAATCAATTTGCTCAAGGGCACGTACATTTTCCCCCACAAAGAAGCCAACCGGCAATATTACAATCACATCTGTGTTTTCTCAGCGCAGGGCCTCAGCCGTCATGTCAAAGAAGATTGATGGTGTGACTACTGGGCCATTACATTCATATACCTCTCACCCTAGGCCTTTTCTCATGGAATGACCTCTCTCTCTCCATTTGCCTCCATCTTTCCCTCCTTTTTTCTTGTCCTCCTTGGTTTTGTTCTCCTCTTCTCTCTTTTCCTCCTCCATCTTCTCAGACTTGTCTAACAGACGTCTCTACTGGGTGGACTCCAAGCTGCACCTGCTGTCCAGTGTGGATCTGAATGGGGATAACCGCAAAGTGCTGCTGTCCTCCCATCACCACCTGGGACACCCCTTCGCCCTAACTGTGTTTGAGGTATGGAAAGATTAAAATACAGCCCCAGAATCAGTCAATGCAATGGTATTTTTGAGCTTTAAATCTTTACGTATGCTGATTCTTTGTTTGCACAAGGAGTAAAACTTACCGCACCATGCTTTTAAGAATTATCCCATTACAACAGATAGGTTTATATTTAAGCAATTCTGTAGTCCATCCCATTTTCCATAGCATACCAGATGTTTTGAGCTCTGTTTCCTTCCTTCAGGGTTGCCATTGGTTTTATGTCACTGCTTCATGTTGTGCAAAGCAAGTCACAGAGGCTCCAACTGAACTCTTGCACAGTCTAGCTTTTTAGCCTCTGAAATATGCAAGAGCACCACTGAGGTTTAACTTTACAAAAATATATTCACCTCCTTGTTGAGCCAGATATTAAGTATCTTAGTCTATGAAAATATCAGGATAATAAAAGCAAAAAATACAAATGAACTGCTTTTGGCATAATGGTGCAATTAATTTCAAAGCACCTTGAGGCCTGCCACACTATCTAACTATAATGCAAGGAATCTCTGTCTGTCTGTGTCTATGTATGTAAATTTGGGGTTTCACTGAGCAGTTGACTATCAAAACCAGTAGTTGACACTGTGCACCGTTGTCGACTAATCATTTATCTGTAAAATAAACAAAGCTCCAACTCCCTCCATACCACCAGCAAAAGTCCCCACTCATCTGCCGGTTGATACGTTCACTTGCAGACCCCCTGCCAGTTAATGAGCCTGGGGGTCTGGGTGCTGGGACACAGAGGGAAGGCCAACACTGTCCATCTGCATACACTGCACACACTGCGGTACACAGAGCTGGTTGAAAATCAGCAGTGTTTCCCTATATAGTCTTTAAGGAAGGAAAGACTCCTTTTATCCCTGCAAGAAAGCAGTCGCATTATTGTTTTATATATATATATATATATATATATATAATACACTTTTATTAATCCCCCTGATGGGAAATTCAATTATTTCAATTATTGCTGCAATCAAGCAGAATCTACAGCTCAGAAAAGCCTGCTGGAGATTTAGTCCAATCAAATTGCAAATTGTTGAAACCAGCCTCTCAGAACCAGCACAGGAATCTGCTACCCCAGGTGGGTCCCACTTACGTTAGTTGTATTTGAGACCTTTTTGACATTTATTGATAACTGGGGGTAAAAAGAAATATGATAAAGCTGCAATTAGTTCTAGACTTCTTTTTGGGAGTAGTCAATGATTTCTAAGATGCAGTATTTGTGAATGCCCTAACGTATATGTATGAATGTATGTGTTCTTTGTTTATCTTGAGAACCTCTCATCCGATCTAAACCGAAATTTGGTGTCAGACTTGGTGATAATAAAGTTTGACCAAACAAGCCGCGAGCACTCTGTACAGCAGCAGAGGCAGGTCTGTAGGGCTTTGCAGAATGAGTCGTTCGTGTTTCGTTAAGCTTATTTCACTGCTTTTTCTGACCAAAAGTACCTGCAACTTGAATGTGATTTTTTTGCCATGGTAGCTTGTAACACTAATAAACTAACCACTAGCGAAATGGCTCTGCTAATAACCACGGTGGTTATGTCAAAGCAAGCAGCTACTATGTCTATTTTGAAATCACACCAGCTAAGTGTATTTTACCAGTGTTTCTGACTGCGAGTAGCCATGACTTGGGTGTGTTTTTCAGAGACGGATTCAGTGATATAGGGGCCCCAGGCAAAGGTTGTCTTGTTTTACTTTCACCTTTTCTCTGGCTTTGAACACACATTCGCATGTAATCTAACACCTGATCAAGGTGAGGCTTTCAATTCTAATACAATGCTGGATAGCTTAATGAATAACGAAGCATCAGATTTTATTGTGCATAAAATCCATATAATCCATATTTTTCTTATCTGATCTTGGTAATAAATCTATAGCTGTATTGTTCAGCAACCAAGGAAGCATCGAGTGTGAAGTTGTTCATGGAAGCGGTTCTTAAGAAAGCTGCAAGCAGCAGCACCACAGGCCAAGCAATCGGCTCATTCTGAGCAAGCATGTTTTGAACGGGCACTGCACTAGTTAAAAGACAGCAAGGGAATGATAACCTCAAAATACGGCATCAATATATGTTTATTTTTAATTTCCCACTTTGGGACTTGGCATGGATCACCTGCAAGCACTTGGCAGTGCTTAGAGGAGGTCTCTACCTGTAAGGCAATCAAGATGCTAACGTCCTTATTTGACCTCCGAAGTGTAGATACATGCCGAAAAATAGGTCTGTCCTATCTTGTTTGATGTTTCCCATCTTGGCAGTGTATTTTTAGATTTTCTCTGAGCCAAATATAAGCATGGGACATGAGTTTTTGCTGTTATTTTTATCTAGAGTTGTTGATATTTGGCTGACATACTTGTCTGAGGAGAAATGAGAGATGGAGATGTTTTAAAAGTATAGTGGAAAGATAAACCCAGGAAAGGAATCATGTTTTCAAGGGCTGACCAATGTAGAGTCACAGCAGAGCGCAGCAATCGATGAAACTAATTTGGGCGTATTTATTGAGGCAGGAGTGAGTCAGTCTGTTAGAGCCCATCAAGTATAGATGATGTGGAAGGTGGAAAAGAGAAGCAGAGGAGAGCAGAGCAACAATGAGGGCGAGAAAGAGAGGAGGTGAAATGCGATCAGTAGGAAGTGCTTTCTCCATTCCTCTCGTTGCTGCACACACTGTGATGATGAGAAGCAAAAGGAAGAGGGGACATCCATCATGTCCAGCTACGTGTGCCTGCATGTGTGCTCGGATATGTGTGTATGTGTTAAAGGGAAGGAAAAAAAACAGGAAGAAAACCAACGTTTCAGGCAGGCAGTGAAAGTTCATCCCTGGAGATTAATAGCCCTCAGCTCTTCTGGTCTTTGTTCTGTTCTGGTTATGATACAGACCAAATTAAAAATCCTTTAGCAGTGCAGCAGATTGTCGTGGTCCCAACAGACCGATAATGGGAAGTTTGTTTTTTGTGGAGTTGCCTGGCACAAGTTGTGAACTGAAACACTGAACCTTTTTTAGTCCGTTTAATTTAGTTTGTGTCTTATCTGGGAAATGAGCCTCAAGGGAGCATTTTTGACTCAGGGTCTGGGTCTGTGTTAAACTGCTTACTGCGCCACCTTTAGCTCAGTTGTGTATCATGCCATACTTTGCATCAGAAAATGGTGTAGCGTTTATTTACACGAGGATGTTGATTTAGCAAAAAGAATAATGGCTCTGCCATTTAGGCCAATTTTGACCCTTTCTTACTCAGAAATATTAGATCAGGGGGTGGCCAACCAGTCAGAGACCAAGAGCCACACAAATTACAGTGGTACTACAAAGAGCCACATCATACACCTGTGCTTACAAACGCACTCCCTCTCTCACACAAACACTAAATGACATAAAATCAAAATCCATACATTTCCAATTTTCAAAGCCAGATTTATTTATCTCACACACAAATGAATAACCATGAATAGAGATACACACAAACACAGTCTCTCCCTCTCATACTGTCTTTCTCCATCCCCCCTCCACACCCACAGTCTCTCCCTCTCCCACTCTCTCCACACACATCCACACAGTCTCTCCCACTCTCATACTCTCTCCAGATTAGTGTTGTCACGGTACCAAAATTGGGACCCACAGTACGATACCAGTGAAAGTATCATGGTTCTGAGTAGTATCACGATACCACAGCAAAGATGAGGCAGATGTGCCTTTTGTCATTTATAAAAAGATAAATCACTTTTCTATAATACATCAATGATATTTCAATGGAATAAATTACTTATTGACTTATTCATACTTCAAAAACAGCATCAATCAGTGATTAACATAGGGGGGATCAAAATAAAATAAATAAATAAAATAAAAATCAACCAGCCACCCTCCTCCCCTGACAAGTAAAGAACAGTCCCTTCATAAGTAAAGAACAGTCCCTAAAGTGTGGTGAGGTTTGTGGGCCGTTACCTGACACAAAGAGAAATGTGAACGGCTCATTTCTCCTCTGACACGCCACATACCTGTTTGCCGCCATGGCTCGGCTGTTCAGGTATTTCTAGGCAGTCATGACGCCAATTTATTCACCTGGAGCCGGACTTCTCGGGCGCCGGTATGCCATTATCTTGCGCCGCGGAGCACTATGGCCATTATTGGCCAGCGCATGGACACTCACCCTCCTTTGATTGGACTTTGAACTTATCCCACAGTAGTGGCACCATGTCATGTACCGTGGTGTTTAAGTAGCAGCCTAAAGGTAAAGGTAAAGTTCCACTGATTGTCACACACCTGAGTGTGTGAAATTTGTTCTCCGCATTTGACCCATCCCCTGAGGGAGCGGTGAGCAGCAGCAGTGCTGCGCTCGGGAATCGTGGTGATCTAACCCCCCAATTCCAACCCCTGATGCTGAGTGCCAAGCAGGGAGGCAATGGGTCCCATTTTTATAGTCTTTGGTATGACCCGGCCGGGGATCGAACCCACGACCTCCCAGTCTCAGGGCTCACTCTACCACAAGGCCACTGAGCTGGTAGCCTACTGCGGTCTACCATTGGTACCAGTATACCGTGCAACACTACTCCACACACATCCACACACAGTCTCTCCCTCTCTCATACTCTCTCCACACATGCACACACACACACACACACACACACACACACACACAAAGACACGCATTTCTTCCCTAACATTTTTTGTTGTGTGATATCGCCACCGCGCTGCAGTCCTGCATTCCTCCCAAACTCCACACCCTCTCACCTGCCTGTGCACACTCCTCTCTCTCTCACTCGCTCCACTTAAGCCTGTTACATTTCTTAAAGGGCCATACGCACTCATAACAATAAATTGATTTTTTTATGACGGAAGAGAAGCACGCCGATGGTTTTAATTAATGGATCGAAGAGCCGCACACTGATAGGCAAAGAGCCGCATGCGGCTCGCGAGCCGCGGGTTGGCCACCCCTGTATTAGATATTAGATTAGAGTAGTATTAGATTGGCAATGCTTACAAAACCAT